CTCTTCCCAGAAATAGATGAATATGTTTAGATTTTTAAGGCCAGAATGGGTCATTGAAGCTAGTCAGACCCCCCATATAATCCAGGCCATAAACTTTCTGTGTTAGTCCCTGCTCTACACGGATTTGTCCTCATAGCTACACAGTGTCCAATCTGCAGTTTAAAGGCCAAATGCAGCCCAGAGAATCCTAAAATACTTCTCTTGTCTGTCATCCCCAAACCAGAGGGCACAAGTCTGCTCTATGTTTGTATTGCTGTTGAAAGCCTGTAAGGACACCTCTTCATCTTTCTGGGCAAAAACCAAGTACAATTGTATTAAAGTATTTACATTAATATGTTTAAATCAGGAGGCCTGGATGACTCATACTTGAGCCCTCTAACTGAGGAGATCTTTGCCCTATTGTTGTTAATTTTAAGCAGTCTGGAAGTCCAAGTAAATTTGCAAGGACTGAAGAAAAGCTAGTGTTGGGCCCACACTGAAAAAGATCAAGCAGGATGGAATATTGAACGAGGGCAAGCTTACTGAAGGCCAGTTAGTATGCCATCAATGCCTGGCCACATAATGGGACAGCGGGTGTAAAATTCTATTAATAAAGGATAGGAATGTAATTAATACCAGCCAGCATACTTTTATAGGAAATGGGTCTTGTCAGACAAAGGAGGAGGATTCAAGTTGGGTTGAAACCAGTAAATGTGTAGATGTTGTGGATTATCTTAAGTATTTGTCTTGATTTCTTCTGGCACTCTAAATGAAAAATCGGCACTATTCCATAACAATGAAGACATGACACAGCATAGGGACTGACCTGACAGATCTCAAAAAAGTAGCTGTCAATGGGAAATTGTCTAGTAGAGGTGCTTCTAGCAGGCTTCTGCAAAGATTGCCATGAGGCCTGACAGTGAACATTGTCCTCAATGGAAATGAATATAAAATCACTGAAGATAAAAAGCATAGGTGAAACAAAGATTGGCAGAGTGGTAAATGGTGAGTACAGGGCAGCCATCCAGAGCAATCTGGATGGCTTGATGAGCTGGGCCCATTCAAACATAAGGTATTTTAATACAGCCAAATGAAATGCTATATATTTAGGGACAAGGAATGCAAGGCTGTATATCTGTAGAGGCTTGGAGACTGTCACCTGGAAAGCAGTTCTCAGAGCCAGTGCCTTCCTAAAGCTTGGAATATGGGATAAGATTTGGGGGTTCACATTTAAAATGGGAGTTGAAAAATTAGAGATTTTGCAGAAGGGAACGATAAATAATTTGTTTGTTGGAGAAAATGTCTCACAGCAAGAAACTCATTTAAAGAGCTCGGTCTCTAGCAGATCAATGAGAAAATTCAGCAGTGACGTGATTATGGCTTTGAAGTACTATCATGGAAAGAAAATAGCATGTATTAGAAGGGGCTTTAATCTACAAGACCAAAGGCATAACAAACCAGTAACTGAAAACCGAAACTAGATTACTTCATGCTTTAGTCACAATGTACTGGTATTAACGTAGAGGTAGCTGGTCAAAAGTAATGGCCTGTGGTATACAGGAGGTCAGACTGACTGATTTCAATGTCCTTCTGAGCCTTAAATTCTATGAATCTATGAATATACAAACTGGGTATCACGTTTTGACTTGTAGCAAGTATTCAGTGTGTCCTCCAGCAATACTGGAGCTGGATAACCAACTCCACATTTTAGATGATGGAAATGTCCAATTTAATTGTTGGAATGGTGAAAATTGCACCATACTTTGCATGTGTGCTGAGCACCTAGATAATACTCGTAGTTCACCCTCGCCCAGCATGTCTTAAATCTGGTACCTATCTACAAAATATGCTGTCGGGAAGAGAAAACTACATTTGCTTCTGTAACAAAATGTAGAGCTTCTGAAGAGCATGAGATTGAAAATGGCAGAGACTGACATTAGCTGTTTATTTCTAGAGCAGAAATAAGATTATGTGCTGGTAGTGGCAACTCCCCTCCATTGTCTCTAGTGGGGGAAAGTAATGTGGATGTGTTAATTCTGCTGAGTCTGTTGCATTTAAAATTTCACTTGGAGATGGAATAAAGATAACAATTCACTTCTTTTTCAATAGTTGAATTAAAGAGTGACTATTCATTCTTTCCCACAAGACTAAACATTTTAGTAAAAGGACAGTCACAAGCCTATAACATAACACACAGTTACCTAAAATAATCAAAACATAAAGACTCTTTAAAAACAAAGTTATATTTCTTCACTCAATTCTGATTATTTCTCTCATCTTAGTGGGTGCACTAACCAGTTTCACTTTAGTTCACAGTCCGTTTTACCTTCTGAGTCTCTTGCACTCGTTCACGAAAGCTTGTGCTGTCTCTATATATCTTATTTAATTAGTCTATAAAGGTGCATTTCTACCCTGCCTTCTGACTGCCTTCAGACTAACATGTTGATTTGCCTCTCTCTTTTCATGCCGTACCCTAGTGCTACAACATTCGAGTTCTGAAAACTGATGGAGAATGGTTACATCCACATAAAAACATCACTGCATTTGTCATTTTTAAAATGTGAAAACACTGCTTTGTTTTAAAAAATGTGAAAACACAACATTTTAGGTTTTGTAAAAAAGTATTTTTGTATTCAAAAATAGTTTTATGGAACCATACACAAGCACAACATATATCGCATAAGCAGGCATAGGTCAGCTTCCCAGCTGTAAAATAGCATAAATCAGTTGACTTGAAGTTGCTTTAAATTACACCAGTTGATAATCTGGATTTCATACTATCCATGTAATAAATTGGAAAGCCAAGTAATGTACAGCCAAGCTATATGGTAAAAGAGTCATGGACCTGTGTCCACTTTATCTGCTCTCTGTTTGGCAAACCATTTCTCCTTGCAGGGTTTTTAATGTTCCAAGTCCTGAAGTGGTTTTATACAGACACCATGAAAAAAATTCAGGTTGGCCAAAAACCTGTTGAAAAAAAACCCAGCTCTTTGGAAACTTTTTTTTTTTTTTCGTTTTTGGTTTTGATTTTATTTTTTTTGACAGAAAATTGAGGTTTTCAATAGAGAGATTTTTTCTTGTCAAAAGTTTCTCTTTTAACAATAGAATAATGCCATTTTCAACGTAAAGTAAATGTCCCCCAATTAAAACCTGTTTCTTTTTACTTTGGGGCAAAATGCTTGTTTGTCATATTTTACTGAAAGGCTGACATTTTCTATTGAAAATGCTAATGAAAATAAAGAAAAAAATGAAAAGTTTTTATTCACATTTTCTATAGGGAAATAAACTATTATCTGATCAGCTTTAAAAAAACCCAACTTAACTTGACAGATAAATAGTTTCCCCTCCACTTGCACATGTGGCATTTCCCTTCCCTGCCCCCTAATGCCTACCTGAGGCCCCTAACAGGCCATTAGTCTTTGGCTACTGATAGCTTTTCTATACATAAAAAAAGCATGATTGCTGCCGAGCAAGGCCACCCCTTTGACTAGAGAATACACGTAATACACTGAAAAGGGAAGATTACTAATTTAGAGAAGCTTCCTAATTTCCCAATAGGAGATGCACATGCATACATGCATATGCATATTCAGGCTGATTGCATTTCTGTACAACGGTATCAAAGAACAGTTTTAAAATATTGTTTTTTGCAGCAAACAGCAAGTCACATTTTAAAGACCAGAACAACCAAGTCTGTTCACAGAAAAACCATAATGAGTTTCAAAACTTATTTGACAGACTGCATGGAAGGTTTTTTCAGTTAAACAAGCAAGACTCACATTCATAGACCCCTTACATTGCACGACATGTAATGCAAACTGGTGTTTAAAACATCAATTTCTTCACTGGCAGTAAGGGCCAGATTTTCTGGAAAGACAAGATGCACATAACAAGAACACTTTTTTTTCTTATGAGATGAGAGAGTAATTCTCCCCAGGGCACCCATGACAGGGGTAACTATTCATGCTCTGTGAAGTGGGGTTGTGTTAC